CGCGATGACACCTTATTGAAGATAACAGAGTATCTTCCCACATGCTCCACCAAGGCCTTCATTATGTACAGCAATTTTTATTTGATAGCCACAGAACGGCAGTGGTTTAGGATAGGATTGTGTCCTTAAATTTAATATCCTTACTTCTTATATTTCTCACTTACTTTATCTGTTTATTCCATTTTTTTCTTTCTCCTCCCTCACCATGGGAAATAAAATGTACTTTCAATATACCTACCTCTGCAAAATTTCCTTTCTTCTAATGTCTCATCCAATTTTCAAAGAGCCAAAAACCAGACCACCCCAGATATTAGTACTGTGTCCCAAACAGCAGTGCAGAGACCTCAAGAGAAGACTCAAGTGTTTAGTGAATGGACTTTGACATCGGTGACAGGCCACTTTGGTTTTGGGCATGTTTTCTGTTCTCACCTGTGATCCAGATAGTTCAGATGGCTGGGTAAGTGACTTCTTAATAAGTGAGGTGTTACAAAATATCAATTCAAGGCATTTCTACTCATCCACCTGTTCAAAAGTGTTGTATCATCATCATAATTAGAAGGGTGGCCTAGTTCCTCAAGCTTCTGGGTAGCCATCTGATGCTTAGAAGCAGAGAGACGTGGCTACATCTTGTATAAAAATAGCCCCTCCAGATGGCTGAGGGGCAAAGTTTCAACTCAGCAGCTTGATACAGCTGAGCATTCAAATTTTGGAGTAGGAAGAGAGTTATGTGAGAAGTAGCCAGAGAGACTGGGCTTGAGTCCAATCATAAGTAGAACAGTATATGGCAGGAGAGCTCACTTAGCATGGCAGATTAGCTGTTAAGAGTTCCTGTTTACTTCTCCTCCTCACCTCCCGTGATTCAACCTCAAGTCCAAGGAAAGTATAGTCACACATACTTTTTTTTTTACAGGGAGTATAGAAAGAATGGAGATCATAAATCTTACAGGACTCTAGAATTCAACTAGTCTAACTCCTTGTTTTGGAGTCCCAGGATGGGGCAAATGAGTAATGCATTCAGCTGCTAACTGAAAGGTTGGAGGTACAAATTCACCTAGAGGTGACCGAGAAGAAAGAAAGGCCTAGTGATCTGCTTCCAAAAAAGCAGCCACTGAAAATTCTGTGGAGCACACTTCTACTCTGACACACATGGGGTTACCGTGAACCAGCGTCATCTCCATGGCAACTGTTTTGACTCCTTCTTTCAGAGATGAGAAAATGGATTCCTAGGAAGGTAAAGTGACCACCAGCATGTTAGTGAACTTCAGACACTCTAATTTCTTGTCCAAGGCTTATCTTGCCACTCCTCTGTGAAAGGGTATGTGCACAGTTATACCCCAGCCCTGCTTTGAATCATTTTAAACTTGAATATGAAGTCTCTCATTAATATGTATATATATATATATATATATATATACATACACACACACACACACACACACACACACAGAGAGTGTCCTGGTGTGGCGCTGTGGTTAATGCACCACACTGCAAAGCTGTTTGAACTACAAGGTCGGCAGTTCAAGCTTACAAGCTGCTCCTCAGAAACACTATACAAGGTTGCCATGGGTCGGAACCGACTCGACGGCACATAACAACAACAATATATATATTATTGTATATATATAACAAGGAGCTCTGGTATTGTAGTGGTTACGAATCAGGCTGTTAATCTCATGGTCAGCAGTTCGAAACTTCCAGCTGTTCCGCAGGAGAAAGATGAGGCTTTCTGCTCCTGTAAAGATTTATAGCCTCGGAAACCCAATGAAGGGTTGCTATGAGTCAGAACCGACTCCATGGCACATAACAACAACGACATATATATATATAACATATACATATATATATTGCAAAAAGCCATATGCTATTTCTTCCATCCTTCAAGACAAATATGAAAGCTGTGGTCCATGAGTCACTGGCACAAAACTTCTTGTTTCACAAATGAAAACACTTGCTAATCAAATGCATGGTGGTGGTGGTGGTGGTGGTGGTGGTAGTGTGCCATGGAGTTGGTTCCAACTCATAGTGACCTAGGGTTTCTGAGGCTGTAAATCTTTACGGAGGCAGAAAGCCTCATCTTTCTCCCATGGAACAGCTGGTAGTTTAGAACTGCTGACCTTGAGGTTAGCAGTCTGACTCATAACCACTACGCTATTGGAGTTCCTTAATAAAATGCATATATAGACTAAAGTATTAATACGAGTATATATACTTTTCACATGTTTCCACCTTTTAATCACCCTGCACTTCAACTGGATATTCTGGAGGAAGACTTAAGTCTCTGCCAGTAGCAAATTCACTATCCTCAGTATCTCAAGGTTTGTTGAAATAATTGAGCACTGATTTTTAAATATAACTAGCAATGTATGTATGAATGCTTATATTACTAGACTTCATTATTTAAAAAGAAATAACAGCATAATTAAAAAACATACCAAGCTCTTGAAACCCCTTATGACTAATCCAAAGGCAAGGCGTTGCTGTTCTCTGGTGGCCATACAGCCTCATTGCAGTTAAGTTTGTTGTTAAATGCCATGGAGTCTGTTTCGACTCAAGCTGGGTCTGTTAAGTGTTGTCAAGTTGGTTCCGACTCATAGTGACCCTGTATCCAATGAACTGCTGGTAGATTTGAATTGCCAGCCTTGCAGTTCAAATGTGGTCCAGTGCATTATCCCACAGCGCCACACCAGGACTCACAGCGACCCAGTACAGAGAGTTTCCAAGAAGCAGCTGATGAGTTTACACAGCCTACTCTGTGGTTTGGAGTCCTGGTGTGGCACTGTGAGTGAATGCACCAGACTGCAAAGCTGTTTGAACTGCAAGGTCGGCGGTTCGAGCTCACCAGCTGCTCCTTGGAAACCCTATATAGCGTCGCTATGGGTCAGAACTGACTTGAAGGCATTTAACAACAACTCTGTGGTTCAAACCTATCAGGATCTTGTGGTCCTGTGCTTATTCTACAGTGCCACACCAGGACTCCTCGAGGGGGAACAAGGTTGTGCCTGCTGACCTTTTAAGCCCAATCTAAAATAAACTGACTCTTTACCATACTCCCATTGTTGTTGCTGTTGTTAAATCCCATTTAGTCGGTTCCAACTTATAGTGACTCACCATAGGGTTTCCGAGGCATGACTTTTGGGTTTGATTTTGCATTTTCCTACCTGAAGGGCTCCCATGTAGTAAAAGAACAAATCTTCCATTTCTTACTTATTTTTTTCCTGATACAAGAGGACTAGAGCTGTCCAAGTGAATATTACAATATTGTTGCAAAGTAGGAAGTAGCTTTTCAAAAGGAAGCATCTTTCCTTCTTAGGGGATTCATCCTCAGACAGTATGGAGTACAGGCTCTGTGCCTGGTACCCTGCCATGCCCCAGGAGTAGGAAAGGAGGGCTAACCCTGGTATATAGAGCACTATTACATCACCACGTCTGCCTACTGCTCAGCTATATTACTAGCTGATGGAAGGGCAGTCACTACGGAAGGACGAATGGAAAGAGAAGAGTGGAACAGGCATTTTTTTTTTTTTTTGGACTGCCTGTTAGATGTCTGGGCATGTCCTGTTGATCCCAGTTGGAACATTCCTGTTAACAGTCAAGGGTGATCTATGAGTGTTGTTTAAGGCTATTTGTTGAGGCAGCTCTGACTCATGGTTACCTTTTGTATAACAGAATGAAATGGCATCTGGTTCTCTACCATTTTCACAATCATGGGTATGCTAGAATCCATTATTATAACAATTGTGTATTTTGAGTGACTTCCAATCTAGGATATTCAGTTTTCAGCACCATTGAGTCAGAACTGACTTGAGGGCACTTAACAACAGCAATGACAAATATGTTAGGTGAAATCTGCTGTGAACCATAGGGCTTTCACTGGCTGATTTTCAGAAGAGATCACCAAGCCTTTCTTCCTATTCTGTTTTTATCTGGAAGTTCTGCTATCACCTATCTAACATGGGCAAACCTCTTGGTATTTAAAATAACAGTGGTATAGCTTCCCATATTGTAGTAGCACTCAAGGCACCACACATGGTCAGACAGGTGGTGGGCTTTAAGAACTGGTGTGCTAATTCTACCCCACTACCTCGACCTCACCCTGCAGTGTAGATAATGAGACTGAGTGAAGTTAAGCTGTAAGAAATTTGCTGCCCCAACTAAGAATGCAAATCAGGGCAAGCTTTTCAGTGCCTTTATTAAGAAATATCAAAAGTGGATTACAGCTCCATACATGGTTTTACAAAGTTCAAGGAGGGGAGTAGCAGGGAGGCCCTCAATATGCATGTTTGAACATGATGGCAGCTTGTCAGAGAGGTAAACCTTCTTTAACAGTGAGCTGCTCATCAATGATTTTTCCCATTTCCACAAGGACATAGCAGAATACCTTAATTACTAGAAAGAGTTTTAATAAGTTATAAATACTACTTAAATACCTGTCCTTTCAAATTGTCATCATCTCTCTCTGAACAAGCAAAGCTGTTTATAAGAAGCCAACACTTGAGTCCCATTCACTGCGGTTTGTGTTACATTTTCACAAATCCTGTCTTAAAAGTTGGAAAACAAGTCACATGGTACCATATTACACATGGGAGAACCCATACACAGTATTATTTTTAATTTAACATTTAACAGAAAAGGGGGAAGTCACTGAACTTGGAAATACAGTATCACAGTCATTCAATAGAACCATGAAGTATAGGACATATCTGGTGGTTCCACTGAGCACCAGTCACAAACAATAGCATGACTGAGAATAACTGGGTACAGGGTTACCAGCACAATATACAGAAAGGAACCTAACCTCTTCAGGGATGGCGCCTCGCAATCTTTTATGTCAGGAGAATTGCATCAGAGGGGAATTACACTTTCAAAATGATTGGGGCTAGTAGGTCATCAGTATCAGATGGGAGACAACAATGGTGTGCCTTGGTTAAGGCTTGTGCTGGTTTACCTAAAAGTAGATTTCTGAAGAGATTGTCCAGCAACATCGGAAAGAGCCTTCATCTTCAGAGGAAGGACTCTTTGTTCACCCACATGAGACTGCGTGTCTCGTTGGGCTTGCATTCATACTCGATGACAGAGAACGGGCTTCCCCACTGGCAGTGATCTCGCTTGTGGTAATTGTAGAACTTGACTTGCCACACCGTCTCAAAGGTCCCAATATCCATGAACTGAAGGGACAGAAACACAACCAATAAGAACCTCATTCTGCCACGAGCAATACAAACAGCTAACTTCGGTAAAGATGTGGCTACCTACCTGGGTATGTATTTTACTTTGTCTGCAGAACTTAATTAGAGACCTATCTTTCTTTATGGGGGTCATATTTTCCTGAAAAAGTGTCTCTAAGCCATTTTTCTCTGCAAAACTTTATTCCAATTGTACTAAACAGCATTTGCTATCATAATACCTTTAATAAAAAGAATGTTGTTATTGTTTGCTTTTGTTCAGCAAACTCTCATTCATGGAGACCCTGTCCAGTCCTGTGCTATTCCCGTGGATGGGTGAAAATCAGACTTTTGTGACCCACAGGGTTTTTGTTGACTGATTTTTTGGAGGTAAATCACCAGATCTTTCTAGTGTTTTTTAGTCTGGAAGTTCGGCTGAGACCTGTCCAGTGTCATAGCAACACACAAGCCTGTGGTGGAAACTCTCCTAAATTACAAGTTTAATTTCCTGAAAAATATTCTTAGAACTTAAGAAATTTAGTGCTTGCAGTAAAATGACCCCTGCTGCAGAAGGAAGACTGACAAGAGAGGAAAGAATAACCATTTCTGACTGTCTACTGGTTTAATTGTTTACATTGGTTTAATAACTAGGCAAACAGTTATTGATTGCCTACTTCAAAAGACAGCTGTACAGATTAACAGACACAATAATTTAGCATAACATACAATTACCCTTCTGCCTTTACTTATAATTCTAGGGGAAAAAAATTCCCCAATGTGTTTTATTGGAAGCATTTGATTGTTAAAGACCCTACTACAACTTTCTTAAGTATTTAAATAAACTAGGAGTCCATGACCATGTGTCAAGCTTAGATTGTACATTATCCAAAATCATATTTGAGTACCTACTGGGTACCTTAAGGAGTCCCGGTGGCACAGTGGTTAAAGCACTCAGCTGCAAACTTAGTTTGAATCCACCAGCTGCTCCATGGGAGAAAGATGTAGCAGACGACCAACGTAGATTTTATATATATACATATATATATAAATAAACTCTATGGGCTAGTTCTAGTCTACTCTTTAGGGTTGCTATGAGTCCGAATCTACTCCACAGCAATGAGGGTGGGTTTCTGTGTACCTCACACATATAAAAAGTTTTACATGGCATAATTCTTGCTCTCAAGAAGTTTGTATTTTACTTCCAGAAGGTTGTTATTGTTATTAAGTGCTGCCACATCAGTTCTGACTCATAGCCTGTAGAGGATTTCTGAGGAACATCCAGTGGGTTTGAACCACCAACCAGTAGGGAGCAGTCTGCTGCTTATCCTACAGCATGACACCAGGACCTGCAAGTATCTATTAGTGCTTTGAACTAGTCAGAACCAGTTCAGTTATGGCCATCCCAATGAAATCCGAACAGATCTGAATTTGTAAAATGTGGGTGTACAAGAACCATAAACTGGAACAGGAAATGTTATGGTTGAAGCCTTGGAATGGGAGACTTGGGAGAGGCATAGCGAGCCCTTTCAGGAGCCGGATGCTGGAGATTGGTTTATTGCCAGGGTTGTATGGAGCAACACTCATTCAAAATGATGTGATTGGCCACCATCTTTGAGCTAGGCACTGCTATTTCAGATTCTGCTAGTCAAGAGATTCGGTTGTTGTGCAGTGCACACGATGCCCTTGTTTTCTAGGAAGAAGATTAATTTTCTAGCAGGGTACCAGACCTGTATTTGTTCTATTCTGGTCATCACTCCAGTATATCCACATTTTACAAATTCATGTATGTTTGTTTTTGCCTGAACCCAGAAGAACTGGTTTGAAGCCCTGATCTCGACCCAGAGCCTGCTTGAGTCATAAGCTTGCAATTTTCATGTAACTGAGAAGAGGGCACAGAATATCCCAGAGATCCCTGGGCAGATGCTCAAGCGGCCTGTGGGGTAGCCTGACCCTGTGACCGCTTCCTGGAGCTATTTAGGGGACTTGGCATTAAACACCATGATGCCTGTCGTTATTTTCTCCGCTGACCCTTCCCTGTCATGGGAGGGGACTGGGACTGACTTGGCAGGATTCCTAGACCTGTCAGGAGCCAGAAGACATCACGGTGGTAGTGCTGAGAGGGGAGGGTTGCGAGCAATAGGATCCTGATGCATCGTGGCTGCCACAGGAGGAGGGTTATCAGGTGCTTTCCAGACAGCTATCCAAGATGCTCTCAAAATTATATCCTGCATCATTGCCTCATCCTGATAATTCGATCCCCAAACAAGATTTGGCTTTCCTTGAGGAAATTTAATTGACTTGAAACAGTAGACAGTATACCTAAAGTCCAACAAATCTTCTGTCTAGTTTTGAAAACAGGCTTGTTTTCAAAAGTAGCATTATGCATTAGCATAATTCACAATGGTCCCAGACTGGAATCAACCTAAATGCATGCCACCTGGTCAATGAATAAACACATTTTTGGCATTTTATTCAAGAAACAAACAAACAAACAAGGAACATACTGATAAAGGCAACAAGAAAGAGAGATCTTAAAGATATGACAAGGAAAAGAATTCAGATTGCAAAGAATACATCCTGTCTGATTCCATTTGTATATGATTCTAAAACATTTATAATCATCTATAGTGACAGAAAACAGCAGTATAGATTATATTCTAACACAATGGATAACCTAGTGGCTACCTAGGGCTGAGGGTGGGGAGCGGAGGCAGGAAGGAAGTGATTGATTGATGCAAGGTGCAAAAGGGTGCTTTCAAGGGCGATGGGAATTTTTTGTATTTTCATTATTGTTTTTAAATGCCATCGAGTAGATTCTGACTCCTAGCAACCCTGTTTGATGTTGCTGTTCGAACTGACCTTTCGGTTCGGGGCCTCACCAGGGCTCCGTATCTTCATTGTCAAAGCTCATTGAATTATGCACTTAAATGAGTGCATTTAGTATATGTAAGCTTGGTGCTGTAAAGGAGCTCTGGTAGCGTAGTGGTTACGAATCGGGCTGCGAACCTTAAGGTCAGCGGTTCGAAACTACCAGCCGCTCCGCGGGAGAAAGATGAGGCTTTCTACTCCCGTAAGGATTTACACCCTCGGAAACCCTGTACAGGGTCGCTATGGGTCAGAACCGACTCGACGGCACTTAACAACAACAACAACAAGCTTGGTGCTGTAGGATAAGCACTAGACTGCTAACTGCAAGAATGAGATCTGAGGCTCCTGTAAAGATTTAGTCTCAGAAACCCTCTACAGAGTTGCTAGGAGTTGAAATTGATTCAATCGCAGTTTTTTGTTGATTTTTTTTTTCCTTTTGGTATACCTCAGTATTGATTCAAAAGTGAAAGTACTCTAGTTGGAGTGGGAGTGTGCTTAATCAACTGGTATGTTGTTGTTGTTGTCATGTGCCGTGGAGTCGGTTCCGACTCATAGTGACCCTATACAGGGTTTCCGAGGCTGTAAATCTTTACGGGAGCAGACCGTCTCATCTTTCTCCTGCGGAACCGCTGGTAGTTTCGAACTGCTGACCTTGCGGTTCGCAGCCCGATTCGTAACCAATACGCTACCAGAGCTCCTTAATCAACTGGTATAGCCTAGTTCATAAAGACAATGTTTTACATCCTAGTTCAGTGAGAACCAATTGGGATTTTAAAAGCTGGAAAGTGGCTGTATAAGTGCAACTCTAGGTCTATGTGTCTGGAGTAAAAGAGAAAGAAGTAAACCAAAAGCTCAAAGAAGAAAGTCTATAGGACTAGTAGTCTCCGCACACCAGGCCTCACCTATCGTAAGACCAGAAGAACTGGATGCACTACCTACCACTACCAACCATTCCAGTCACAGGCATAATAGAAGCCCCACATAGATTGGGGGAAAAGTGTCAAACAAAACTCAGTTTCCTTAAAAAAAAAAGTTAGATTTAATGGACTAGGAGAGACTAGAGGAATCCCCAAGACTATTGCTTGGGGGTGCTCTTTAAACTTGGACCTCAAATCATTCTCAGAGGACCTCTATCAGTCAGAAGGCAGAGGGGCTCATAAAATAAATATGATCACCCATGAAGTACCATGCTCCTCTAAACAATCACCTAAGTGAGACCTCACAGCCAACAGTTACCCTAGGTCAAATTTGAGAAGGTAAGGAGGAACCGGGGAGCTAGATTAATGGAAAAGAACCCCCAGAGTGGAAAGTATGAGCATGTTGACACCCTGAATAATAGAGATAGTGGTGGTAGTTATATGTCATGGAGTTGGTTCCGACTCATAGCGTCCCTGTACAGGGTTTCCAAGGCTGTAAATCTTTATGGGAGCAGAAAGCCTCATCTTTCTCCCATGGAACAGCTGGTAGTTTCAAACTGCTGACCTTGAGGTTCGCAGCCCGATTTGTAACCACTACACTACCAGAGCTCCTTAATAGAGATGGTGGTGGTGTTGATTTTGTGCCCTGGAGTAGGTTCCAACTCATAGCGACCCTGAATAGAGTTTCCAGGCTACAAATCTTTACGGGAGCAGAAAGTCTCATCTTTCTCCCATGAAGTGACTAGTGGATTTGAACTGCTGACCTTGAGATTAGCATCACTGCTCATAAACCACTGTGCTAACAAGCATCCTTGAATAACAGGTATTGTTCTTGATAAGTGCCGCTGAGTCAGTTCCAACTCATAGAGACCCTGTATAGGATTTCCCAGGGGCAAATGGTGAGCTTGAACTGACAACCTTGTGGCTCAAACCTATTGCGCTGAACCATGCATTAATCCAGAGCGCCACACCAGGAATAATAGGTGTAGAAATTGTTAAGTGAGAACCTAATTTTCTATGTAATTTTTCTTCAAAAATCATAATAAAATATTTTTTAACAAATTAGAAATACTTGTCAGTAAGCTTCTAGCTCCATAGGATAAGCACTGGACTGTGAACTACAAGGTCAGCGGTTCGAGCCTACCAACCACTCCACTTGAAAAAGATGAGACTTCCTGTTCCAGCAAAAGATGTAAAAAGCCTTGGAAGCATTGTACA